AAACAAAGATGATTTTTTTAATAAATAACAAACAAGATAATAACTCTTTCTTTTTTCCTATCCTTTATCAATGACTACCTCTCCTCAATGCCATCTATCTCTCCTCCTTGTCCTCTCAGCACATTCCTTAATTGTTTTATGAAAAACTATTAAAAATTAGAACTCCCATTTTCTCCTTACTTAATCACACTTTTTATTTGCTAAAACCCATGCGCATTAAATGCCTTTTTATTTTACTTTTTTATATAATAAATTCAAAATTAAAGTATCAACCCTGATAGTGTTAGTTCATTAAATAAAAAATAGTAAAGAAAATATCATAGTAGGAGAGATGCGGAGAGAAGAGAGGACCAAAGGAGAATAGCTGCTAGTGAAGAAGGAAGACATGTGGAAGAGGATGGGAAGGTGAAAAAGACGCGAATGAGAAAGAGGGGGAAGAAAGTAGGACGAGGCAGGAGGAAAGGTTGAGACGATAAAGAATAGAGAAGAACTAAGATATAGAGAAGGAGTGTAGGCAAATAAAATTACCTTTATCCCAAACAAAAGAAGCTCAACGGTTCGCCTGCGAGGTTGAACTTTACCTGAAGTTCGCCTATAAGATTTAACTTCGCCCACGAAGAACGAACTTCGCCTGAAAGCTAAACATCACCTGAAGTTCGCCCGTGAAGAATGAAGTCTGCCTGAACACTGAACTTTGCCTGAACATTCAAGTCCGCATGAACAAAGTCAAGTTCACCTGAATAATTGAGTCCGCTGACGAAGTCAAGTTCACCTGAATACTTGACTCCGCTGACAAAGTCAAGTTCATCTGAATACTTGACTCCGCGGGCAAACCCAAGTTTTCCTGATAACGTGGCACTGCCTGAATCAACCATGCAGACTCAAGTTCGCCTGAATACTTGACTCTACAGGAAAAGCCAAGTTCGCCTAATAACGTGGCTCCACCTGAATCAACCATGCAGATTCAAGTTCACCTGAATACTTGACTCCGCGAGCAACGATAACACGGATTCGCCTGAATCAACCATGCAGGTTCAATTTAGCCTGAACAATGAGCTTCACATGAACGAAGTTAACTTCTCCTGAACACTTAACTTCGCCTACGAGGTTTGCCTGCATGCTCCAACTCGACTGCAAGCTCGTCAAGCTCGCCTGAATGTGCAAGCCCGCCTGCAGCGTCAAGTCCGTTTGCACTACTTGACCATTTCAGCCACTAAGGCTTAAAATGTAAAAGTGGTTGTGCCCACTTTTCACGTTCATAGGAGACGGTTATATACCATTCTCCTCTATAAATAGTCATTAATGGCTACCAACAGAAGGGCGGCGGAGGAAGAGGATTGAGAGAATGAAAGCATTAAGAGAATCATGCATTCACCCTTCAAACTCTAGCTCGGCTACTCGAACTCCAAAAAATAAAACTTCTACTACGCGAGGAAGTTTGTTGACAACCTTGTTCGAATCGTCAACAGGAAGCAAACTCGACTTAAGCATTGAGTTAGATATCCCTTCACCCCAAAAGATCTCACGTTAAACAAAAGAGAGATCAGATCGATTCTCTCTTCTTCTGTGTAAAAGAGATTTTTTTATTTGTAATACACAATTCAATCAATACAAAATTAGGATCATCTTTTACGACCTACAAGGAGTAGTATGGACAAAGGAGGAGATATGATCATATTAAGAGGGGAGAGAGAGAGGGAGAGAGAGTGAGTATGAGAGAGAGAGAGAGAGAGAGAGAGAGAGAGAGAGAGAGAGATCAATGTAGAGCGTGAACGCATCTAATGGAGGAGGATAGAAGATGAGAGAGGGAAAGAGAGATGTAGAGTGGGGAAAAGAGGAAAGAGAGGTTGAAGATGAAGGGAATGAGAGTATGAGAGAGGTTAAAGATGAAGAATCAAGAAAAGAGAAAGTGGTTAAATATGAGGGGGGGGAGCCTGCAGAGAGACTGAAGGATGAGAGGAAAGTAGAGAGATTGGAGAGGTCGTAGGTTTACTGAGGAAATGAGAAGGAGGAGGATGAAGGAGGGCGCCCGTGGGGGGGGGGGTGTTTTGATAAGAGGGATTAAATATGAAGAAGAAGACAGAAGAGGCGTATTTCTATTGATTTTTTAAAAGACATCATATGAGGTAAGGAGTTGATTGAATTGTTTCTTGGGTCAAAAGGTTTTTTTTTTTTTGCTAGTTTAAAAATTTCTCATTCTTAATTTTAGATCACATGAGATAATGACTTTCCTCCAACACCTCCCCTCATCCTTCTCCTCCACTTCCTCACTCTCTATCTTTTTATTCTTCATTTATCCTTCTCTTCTACCATGATCTTTCTTACTCCTTCTTGTCCACCTCTTCTCCTCTTTTGTCTCTCATTTTCTTTTTCGTTGTCCATTCTCACTCTCCTCAATCTCCTTTTTTTTTCTTCATCAACTCAGCCTCTTCCTCATCCAGCTCTCTTCCTTCTTCTTTGTTGTCTATATTGGATACTGAATTTGAATTTTTTGTAAGTGAATAATTAAACTTGAAAAGGCTTTTTAATTAGGTTACACTTTACCAATTTGAAAGACTGAGGAGTCATTAAAAATTCATGTCTATCTAAATTCCAATGGATCAATGCGTTTTTTATTTGGAGTCTTCTTAAGAAAATTAACAATATTTAAGTGCAAATTATTCAGCTTAATCAATAATCTATATTCATGTCTGTAATTGTAGGTGCATGTACTAGATATGAAGAGTTTTTTGTGTTTAATGTCAAACTATAGAGTCATCATTTATAAATATTTTTGAGTTCTCTATTTCTACGCCTTAGTCTTTCTACATCCTACTTGCATCCCACTTATGAACGATTATGGAATTTTATAGTGTAGTCTGCAACAAATAAGAAAAGTAAGCATTTTAATCTACACATGTAACAATATTATGAGCATAGTTAACTATTTTATGAAAGGAAGTAACAATTTTTATTAATGAAGTAAGTAACATACTTATGAACAAATATAATAATTTATGAAAAAAATAACATTTTAAAATGTAGACTTGGACAACATTAAAGGTAATAGTTTAACCAATATAAATAACAGTTTTATGAATAAAAGTAACAGTTTAGAAAACAAAGGTAACATATTATGTAAAATGGATAATATTTTATGAATGATGGTAACATATTATATACCAAAAATAACAATTTTATAAAAAAATGATAGACAATTTCGTAGCATAGGTTTCATAAATGTAAAATATAATAATTTAGTAAACAAATGTAGCAACTTTATAAACAAAGATGATTTTTTTGAATAAATAACATACAAGATAATAACTCTTTTCTTTTTTCCTATCCTTTATCAACGACTACCTCTCCTCATTGCCATCTATCTCTCCTTGTCTCTTAGCACATTCCTTAATTGTTTTATGAAAAACTAATAAAAATAACAACTCACTTTTTCTCCTTACTTAACCACACTTTTTATTCGCTGAAAACCATGCGCAATAAATGCATTTTCATTTTATTTTTTATTCTTTTTATATAATAAAGATAATAATAAAGTATCAACTTTGATAGTGTTAGCCCATTAAATAAAAACTATTAAAGAAAATATCAGAGGAGGAGAGATGTGAAGAGAAGACAGGACCAGAGGAGAATAGTTGATAGTGAAGAAGGAAGACATGCGGAAGAGGGTGAGAAGGTAAAAGTAAAGTGGATGAGAAAGAGGAGGAAGAGAGGAGGAAGAGGCAGAAGGAAAGGTCAAGACGATATAGAACAGAGAAGAAGAAGGATATGGAGAAGGAGTAGAATGGACAAAGAAGGAGAGATGATGATATTGAGAGAGAGAGAGAGAGAGAGAGAGAGAGAAGAGCTCCGTGGAGTGAACGCATCCAATGGAGGAGGAGAGAAGATGAGAGAGGGAAAGAGAAATGAGAGTGGGGAAGAGAGAGAGAGAGAGGTTGAAGATGAGAGGGAATGTAGATATGAGAGAGGTTGGCAGATGAGAATGAAGAAAAGAGATGAGAGAGGTTAAAGATGAGCGGGGAGGAGAGAGCTGAGAGAGATTGAAGTATAAAGGAAAGAAGAGAGATTAGAGAGGTTTGTGGGTTCATGAGAAATGAGAGGAGGAAGGGTGGTTGGGGCGGGGGCGGTAGTTTATGAGGGAAAAACTGAAGAAAGAAGACGAAGAGGATATTTTATGATTTTTAAAATAGATCACATGAGGTAAGAAGTTGATTGAAGTGTTTCATAAAGGGTTTTTTTGCTAGTTTAAAAAGTTCTCATTTTTCTATTTTTCAAATTGTTGAAGTTGAGACTCCCAATGTACTTTTTCATCAAAAGTACAGTTACTAATTTGTAGTCAACTATGGATCATCCACTCCTAAACCTAAACTAAAGGAGAAATTTTCAATATAGACTCACTACACATTTTATCACAAAAATCGACATTATCTCTTTCTTTATTAGCGAAATCGACCCAGGTTCTGTCACGTCAGCTTCGTAGCCAGAAACTGGGTCGATTTCTAAAAAACGCGTTGTTTAATTAGTCATGGTTGACAATCCCGACTAATTAGTATGTGCTCGAGACCCCGATTCAAGTTTCTGCAAAAAATTGGCAGGGTTGCCAAATCCGACCAAAATTATTAGGTTTAGCAACCCTGATAAATTTTTGCGTGCTGAATTGATCGTGGTTGGCCAATTTTGAACTACAAATTGGCCAATCCTCAAATAGCAGGGGTTGGCAACCCCGACTATTTGACAGAGACTTTTGAAATTAATTTCCCCAAATAGTTGGAGTTAGTAACCCCGACCATTTTGATTGACAACCCGTTAATTAGTCGAGGTTGTCAACCCTGACTAAATAGAAGTTTTTTTAACGAACCAATTTTTGACCATGACGCTGATGTAGCCAGAAATTGAGTCAATTTCACTAAATAAAAGTGAAATAGGTCGAATTTTGGGAATAAATTAGGGCATGAGACTATTTTGAAAATTTCTCCCTTCTAAGCTGAACTTTCTTCCCGCAGGTAACTGAATTCACGTGCAGCGGCTTCGGTGGCACGCGCTCGAACCCTTCGCAAAAATAGTCCACTGCGCCTATCAGCCTTAAATGGCATGTTTAAGCAGAATGCATCGATTAGCTCATAACTGCGAAAAGTTTTTATGACTGCAATGCCGACATCATTTCACGCCAACTACGTGCACCTGTTCAGCCCCACATTAAATGCGCGAGATGACATCACCCCTTTAGCGGCTTAATAGCTTGTAAAGTATATAAGCGATTCAAAGCCAGCGCAGGCTAGACTGCGGCGCAAAGTTAGTATATCTAACCGCTTTGGTTCTACTATAAAAGGGAATTGAGGCATGGCTGCCTAGGGTATGCTAATTTAAGCATTTTTGAGCAAGCTTATTTGGGCTTAGCTAAGCGTGCTTAATTCGCTGCAACTTAAGCTTTGAAGCTGAGTTGACGGCGGTTGAGGAATTACTAGAGATGCACTTCGAGCCGTGCTCATGAATCCTTCGAATGTGTGAGGATAAAGGGTTTCTGGCTAAGGAATCAAACGCATCCTGAGGAAGCTTGAGAAACCCTAACACAGCCTCATAATTGCACAAAATGAAGCCCCCTGTTTAATAACTGCATCAAGCAGTTATAGGAAAAAAGAATTTTCTTTTAGTGTAACTTATTTTTTTAGATGCTTTTTCCTCTAAAGTTTTTTTAGATAACAAGATATAAGAAGGAATTTATTTTGATGTATGGGGCAGTATTTTGATGTATGCAAGTTTGGATTTACGGTATAATACTAATTATTTACATGCTGTATTGAGACCAAATTTTGAGAAAGCTATATGAGAATGCAATTAAGCTTAAGATTTATTCCTTTTTGCTCTAGGAAGCAAAGCGCAAAAAATAGTTGTATCAGCTTACCGGCGACAAATTATTATCTCCAGCCTAAAATGAATTGTTAGGCCGATTTTGGCTGAAGAAAATTTTCCCTATCGCATTAAATGGTTAAGATCAGAACAACATTCTAAATTTTAAGATAGGTTATAGGGACGAGCATTCTAGAAATATGTCTTGATAAGTTTAAGGATCTTTCTATCAAATGTCCTCACCACGGTCTAGAAAAGGTAAGCAGATATGGCCGCAAATCCATGCTACTGAACAATTGAATTATTCTTTAATAAACTTTCTAGAGCGATGTGTCAAGGATTTGCATGACAGAAAAATGTCAATGAAAGCTGAAAAATTTTAGAGTGTATCTATCCGAGAAAAGGGCATGTAAGTGGGAAAGCACTGTGATGAAAGAGTTTCATCAGTTTTCCCACCCAAATCTAGTTGTGCTTCTCCTGAGTTTGTCAAAGGCATAACGATTCTTTTTTTTAAGCAAAAAATGGTAGCAGCTTTGTATAGATTAGAAGTGCGTAGAAATCAAGAACGAAGCTTCAGCTCAAATGCAATCAAGTTCTGTAGGTCTCCATATTTTTTGAAGTGCTACTATGCTAATCTAGTTTTTGATTATTAACAACAATTCTTAAACATTAATGTGTTGAGTGTTTGCTTTTCAACCTGTTAGGTATTCCTACTAAAGAATCCATCAGGTGCGGAGGTTGGTTGGATTGTACGTTCAGTATTCGATATCTAAATGGATGATTGATGGAATTTGGATTGAAGGCGCGCTTTATGCATTGCAAGTCAATAATATGCCATATCGCAGCTTCATGCCATGCTACGCAGATCAAGCGTCACGAGAAATCATTAAGCTTGGATATACTTTTGTAGTCTAAGGTTGTTTAGCTTTATGTGGTATGGCTTAAGATCCTCCAAATCATACAATATGACACGTTTTGTTTTATCGCTTCCCTCAAGTTTAGGCCACTTTAAATATGAAACTAATAGATAGCATTTATATACATAGGCATTATTTGTTTCAATGTTTCACCCCATCTATACATCTTTTCTGTGAAAATAAAGCCATGATTTAATGGTATTAAGACTTGCTCATACTATTTTAGCATCTTTTATAAAATCTATTATCCATTTAAAAGTGTTTTACAAAAGCTTATTTGAAAGAAATTTGTTAATAATCAAGTTTTAACAAGTTCATAATGTTTTTACCAATTTCGTAAAATGATGAAGTTCTCACAAAGCAAAAATGATAATTTAAAAAAATTCTTTTGGCTAAGCATGATTATATTTAAGTATATTTAAACATTTCTCGTGCAAGTTTGGCATAAATTTTTGGAATTTATTTACTATTTTTAAACACACTTTGAAAATCCATATTTCACGTATTGCAAGAACGGTAGGTGTGCATGTTTTCTGCGTCGACCGACCACTGTTCATTATCGACCGGATAACCTGTTCTATAATGCTAAAATTTCTGGTCTCAGTGCGACTAATGCTCGGCATCAGTCGACTGAACAATTTTTTCAGTTGACGCGATGGCTTGCATGGCAGTCGACCGACTAGCTATTCTGTATTTTTAGTTTTTAGTTTCTGCTCACAAGAGCCCTATATATCGACCGAAGTATAAATCTAATCAGATTCAATTCCGAAAAGTCTGTGGTTCATTTCAGTCAGGGCTTGAGCTATATAGAGCTATCAGTACGACGACAAATCGTCAGCTGTATTTGTTAGCCGTTGTGTCGTAAGGCAGAGATCTTAGCTCAATAGGTTGAGCCGACATATGTTCATTAGTTCGGATACGGGCGATCGAGAATTATTTCAGTAAATTGGCTAAGTCCTTTGGGCTGATTGGCTTTTTAGGGTATAGAATAGCCCCTGCTTACTTTGATTTTCAACATAGTTATTTACAAGGTTTAAAGAGTGTTTACACACAGTTTAATTCTAAGCTTTTTGTGTGTTGTTTTGTGAAAAAAGTTTCGACAAGAGAGAATCTAAAATTTCATCTTTAAGGCAGACTCAGCGGACCTCAATGCCAAATTTCCTCTTATGAGTGTTTGGTTAAGAAGTTTGTCTAACTCAATTATCTAGCTTGCTTAATATTTCAAATTATTATGGATTTTATATTTGCTAGATTAATACGAGTTTTGGATATTAATTTTACTCATTGATAGTTGCTACTAGCACAAGAGCCTTATTTTGAGACACCTATAGATTATGTATTTATGTCAAAAGGGCATAATTGTACTTACTTATAGCGGTTGTTGGGAGGTGCATCTTTTTGAGTGAGGCTCAATTTTATGTTCTCATCTAAGTGATCATCTGTATAGCTTGAGTTGTGGGGCGGTGTTATCTTTTTGAGTTAGATCTGATTTTGTTTCACTTAAACTGTTGAGAACTACGTAATTACAGCAAGATAACTTAGAGCGAGTGGTTAGGAGGAGACCGTAGGTCTGAATTCCTAAGAGATGTGGGTTGTTGGTAAACGCGCTAGGGAGAGGTAGTAAATCCAAGGCATTTGAGAAAGGTGACATGGGTAGGTAACTAAAGCATATATATATAAGAGAGATGGCTTAATGGTATTGGAACACATCGTAGTGATCCCACTCGTAAAAAGTTTTCGGTAAAGGGCTAGAAAATCGATTGTGTAAGCCTTTTGTTTTTGTGAGTATAAGTGTTGTAGAGCAATAAAAAAACTACCTGTATAAACTGCCACCAACAATTCACAGAAGTTCGGCGCTGGCATCTAAGCTCTGTCATAGAACAAAGGGCTCATTCTACTGTCGCTCTGGCATCAAAAGGCCTGTAAGTCAAGGCGTTGCCGTGAACACTTAGTTGACGACCCTCCTAGTAACGGCAGGTGAAAACATAATGATATTCAGCATACACAAGAACATTTAACATGGCGCAGCTCAGAGCTTCCGAACCCCGAAATGATTTAAACGGGCACCTAACGAAAACGTTTTGGACTCTGTCGGGGCCTGAGCCGAGGCTTTGGGACTTACAAGGCTCACGCAAGTAATTCCTCCAGTTTGTGCAGCTAGGCAGAATTATCCTAAGGGTCTCATGCTTGTAGCGGGAGTGTAAGATTGGGGGGCATACAAAAGGTCTACCCGCACACAAAAACGCTTCAGCCTACAAGGGTTTAAGCTTCGGCCCTAAACGGTTCAAACTGGGGGATTCTACTTGACAAAACACATTAAGTTGCAGAGGCAATTTGGTTGCTCGCTCTAGGCAATGCGCTCGCTCGCCCTAGAGCATCTCACGCCGCACGGGCTAGCCTCACGCGCCGCCTAAGCGGTTTTTGTTGGCGCTCATGTTTATGAGCATACTCGGCTAATCTGTTTTGATGATAGCACAACAATTCTCTAACCACACGTGTGTCGAGTGCTTTTGCATTTGTTTTGTTAGTGTAATCTAGCAGCAAATATCATGTTGTGAGGACGGATAGACTAGAGGGCTTTCATGCATACTTGGAGGATGAAAGGAATAAATCGTGTATGAAGCGGCAATGGCAATTGCAAAGTCATTCCAAGATCAATTCATTCATCCGGGCATAGTTTACCAAGAAAGAGCTCATTGAGATCAAGTTGGGCTTGGGAAGAAATAAGTGTCATTCGCGTGCATTTATATTTTATATGTTTCGAATTATGGAGATACTTTATAGGGCCCTTATTATATGCATATAGGCTACAACACCATTTTATTGGTATTTAAGGCGGTATACTATATATCTACACAGTATATATAAGGTATAAGAAGTGTTCGGGCTAAGGTGACGTCTTGCGATAATCTGCTAGGACGCGGCCTAAAATTACATGATTCGAGGCTTTCATTGTGGATCATGATTCCGCTCTTTCGTTGAAAACACTTGATCTAAGGTGAACGTCATAATTCTATTTATCGACAAAACCTCGTGTGCCTAAAGACACAGATAGTTTCATGATTTATGGCCGTATTGCACCGCAAGTTTGGGGTAAACCTGTCATCGTTTGACGCTATTTGATTTCATGCAGCAGATTCGTCTAATTTTTAATATGTGTTTGAAAATGAATAGAAACTTTCATGCTTACTGGTGGTCGATCAAGAAGGGTCAAACGATGAATTGAGTGTTGCAGCGAGCGCTCATAATGAACTTTGAGTGTATTATGGTTTGTACAGAAATTAGTATGTAAGAGGTTAAGGGTTCTTCATAGCGCAAACGGATTATCCACAAATTGAGTAGGGCTGGAAGTCATGTGATAGTGCATTAGGGACGCGGTAGGTACGGAAGGCTTTCATATCAGATGATTATGGCTAAGAGCAGCTGAATCATCATTAGATGCAAGCTACTTTTTTCATGATAAGGCTTATTATATATATACTTTATTATAGGTTAGTTCATTATGTATGGATAATAAGTATCTAAATTCTTATGATGTGAAGGATCCTTGTTCGAGGAGAGAATATGGCAAGAAACTGTGGGTAGCGGGCCAGTTAGAGTTCTTGCATCATGAAGGACTCTAGTAGTAAGGTGGCCAAGAAACTCTACTCCTGGCAGGGTTAGATTAGACTACATCACACTTTGAAAGATGGAACTGTCTGACTTTTAAGTAGGCTGAATAATGATTGAGGGCTAATTTGATATTATAGATTATGTCAGAGGTTAGGTTAACTAGTAGGTGACGGATTGTGGCTACGCTCACATTGACTTAGAGTTGTATTCAATTAGAGAATTACGACTAGTCAACGCTTTCTATACTAATTTCTCTATATTATTTTATTTTATTTTCTGTTTATATATACATTTATAGGCTAGTTGAGATAAATTCTTTGCTTATTCATCGGAAATCTATAGATTGTATATTATGATTATATATACCCAAAAAAGTACTAGTATTAGTATATGCAGGAAATATTTTCGCTAAGGTGCACCTATATATTCCCACGCCTAAGGACGGCGGTCTAAATGCCACATCAGTTCCCTAATTTTTTTTGTGATCCGGCGTTCGTTGAACACTTGCATCTAGGCACGTTCTTAAACCGGCAAAGCACACCCAATTTTAGTGTGAACCCGTCGTGTTTGCCGCTTTCATCCACATCACTGGGCAATTTTTAGCGAGTATTGAATGAATATGACTTTTACACGGGCTCACCAAGGGCCAAACACCAGCGAGCGGGCTTGCACCGCAAAAAATTCAATGTGTTTTGGTTTAAGAACAGTAGGATCGAAGTTCAACGAGCGAAATCGTAAAAAAAGGGAATGATGTGATTTAGGCGCATCCTTAGGTGTGGGAATCTAATAGTGTGGGGGACACGGCCATAGGGAAAGAGACATTCATATATATATATAAAAGACCTTATATTAATTTAGTTATTTAAATTGGCTATTTTAATATAATATATATATATATATATTATTACCTTAATTTATTTAATCATTATTATCTCCTATGTATATGGACAATTAGAGATATAGAAAGTACTCTGGTATAAGTATTCAGCCTATTTCCATGATATATATATAGTGAGTCTCAATCAATGTATTTTACATAGTTTTTGGTTTTATAGGCTTTTACAGTTTATGTTATATGGCTTATATAATGCGGATCAATATCAAGTTTATTTATTACAAAAAACTTGAAATCATCGTTTTATCTGTCATAGTTATTATGTATTCATTTTGAGAAAAATATTGTGTTTGGCTTTATGGAGCTTTAATACAATTACGAACATTAGTGTATATTTTTCCGGCAAGTCTATGAAAGCCATCACAAAGAGTTTTTTTAAACTTTGTTATCATCAAAAGATCAATTTCAAAGCCGTATTTGTAAATTGTGTTTTGCTAATGTTTTGAGATACATTTTATATGTACTTAAAATTAAGAATTTCTTACTATGTAGAGGATAGACAAATTTAAAAACAAATACTTTGCTAACATGTGCTTATTGATTTAGCATTGAAGTTACAGGCATTCGCAAAGTTTTAGGGCATTTTTTTGAAATTTATTTTTCTATTTTGCTAAAGAGGTTTAATAATTTGTGATTTACTAGTTATTTCACATTACAAGGCTGAAAACCTGTTATCCAAAAAAGTGCGACCGTCGATAATTTTTATCAGTCGTCCCTGATGAAAGCGCCGTATAATCATTAATCAGTTTTCTATTTCTTAATTTGGTCCCACTGATTAGATCGACTGATGAGGCTTATTTGTCAAGTGCGAGCTGAACCAAGAAGTTTTTATTCATTCGGGAGGGGTTATCAGAACATCGGATAAGCTGTTCCAGGCTGTCTGGCTTAACTTGGTTTATCAGTGCTTCGTAAGCAGTCGACTGATTTAAGCGTCAAAGTTAGGTCCAGAGTTCGGGGAGATGCTGTGAACGGGCAATGAGGGTTTTCTCTCTCGGCCCGCACTTGGGATGGGATAGTCACTATTTTTAGGTCTTTGTCTTTTTGCTTTTGATTGGTCGCTTTACCCTTGATTTTGGGGTGCCCGCTATCAAGTTAATCCGGCCGCTCAGGATTCCGGATGCTCAGAGCCAAAAAGTAATCTAAGAAAAAAGTTTTAAAGAGTTTTACAGCAGCAGTAAATGTTTTAGAGGGGGATTTTAAGTTTTTTGTTTCAAGTTTTCGGTTTTGTTGAAAGAAAAGTTTCCACCAGGAGAGAGAAAGAAGAGATCATGGTTTTGCACCGCATTGTCCATTGTTTCAGGCGGCCTTGCAACTTCATCTCTCCTAGCTGGCTTGTTAAATAGAACGAAGTTTTTTCTTATAAGCTCAAATTCTACGGGACAAGTTTATATGCTTTGATCTTAATTCTGCCATCAGGCTAGATTTGGTCAATTAGAGTTTATAGTGTGTATTTATTGCTTTGAGTTAGCAACACACCGGCCAGCATTCGAGCTTTTAGTATTTCCAAATACATAAGTGATATTAGGTTGTAGAGTTTGGTAAGCATTGAAGGGTTGACCCTTAACCATTGAGTACTCATCTATTGTAGAGAACAAGGAATTATCTTGTATGGAAATAAAGTACTTCATTTATGTCCAGGTCAGGCATTGATGTGCACGAATAAGAATACTATGCCAACCAAAGATGGGAGTTCGGAGAGGTGAAGAGACCGTCGGTCGGGCTTCCAGCAGGGGACTGTGATGTGGGGATAGCTAGCAACAGCCTAGTGAGAGGCCAAGTTACGAGATGGTAGACCCGTGGGCCAGTGGGTGCCGTTAGTGGACGGCTCATGTGTTGGATCGCGGGGCGGCGGGCCCAGACCTGAGTTGCGGGGTGGTTGGCAACGGCGTGCAGCGGCTATTTGTGGCACGCGGCTGGTGGTGAAGAGGGCTACGTGTGTAGCGTCTGGCTGGCGCGGGTAAGCTGCAGTGTTGGCCGTGAGATCCGCTCAAGTCCAAGGCGCGATTGCGGTGAGTCGAGCAGTCGCTGTTTGATGCAGGATCTCAGCGAGGGCGCAGGCGGCAGCCCTCGGTTCGCCTCTCGTCGTCATCGCTCGGCGGCGCCGGCCAGTGACGGCCCCCCGGCCTGCCCATCGCAACCCCTGTCGCGGCAGGACGCAGCGGATCGTCTGACCGTCGAGCACATTTTCAGATCGAACATCTTGGTGAATCAGATGTCTGATACCCATGCCGATGCGACAGAGTTTGATGACAATTATTTCGGTTCGCCCTTGATAATCTTTATTCATGTTATATATGTTTACGAGGAGATATAATAAATTAAACTAGAAATCTAACACTATAATTTAACAGGTTGTGACCTGCGGCTCATTTACGAGCACGCCGCCGGGCTCGGCATTCCTTGAGCAGAAACTGAGGTGCACTTTTATTCTCGCCGGGTACGGAATTGTGAAAATATAACTCCAGTTACAGCGGCGAACGTTGTGAAAATGTGGCATATTCAAACACTATAAAACCTTGTATTAAACCGAGATGCCAGTGGGTGTACGCGCGGGACATCTCCTCTCTCAGGCCCAAAAGCCCTTCATATCACTCCTGCCAAACACCCGCAAGTGGCTCCTCCTTACACAGCACTGCGTGCATCAGCAAGAGCCTCCCCGGAGCCAGCGGCCGCCCGGAGTACGCCAGCGCCGCGGCCATGAAATCATGATGCCGAACGGGCCCTACGCGCACGCGGGTTCCCCCATCAGGTAGTCCCGTCATGAAACCCCAAGACTTCGGTCCGAGTCCGGATAAGCATACACCCGTGTTAGTAATCAACTCGAACTCTAACGGGTCTTTCGTTGTACCGTCCGCCCGCGCCACTGTCGCAACTTTACCGGCCAGTTCGCCTTCCGTTTCTCGTGATCAGCATTACTACGGTCAACCTATTTCTGCGCGGGCGAATGGTTTTGCTCGGGCGGTGACTGTGATGGGACAGATTGGGCAGTTGGCCGTAAGAATCCGTCCTCATGCGGAGGAGGTGGCGGGCGTTGGCGCAAGGGTTAGCCGTCTGAATGGGCGTGGCCGGGTGAAGGGAGAGAGGCAAGCGGGCCGCGGGCGCGCCAAGACGGAGCCAAGACGATAGTCGAAGGTGGAGCAGTGGCGGCGCGGTGAGGTCGAGGTGGAGGGATTTGGTCGGGTGACTGAGGTCGAGGGAGGTGGCCAGCGGTGGGCTTGGAAGGTTGAGGGAGGGGGAGGTTGGGAGGTGGGCCCGCGGGGGAGGGCCGGATAGAGGGGTATGAGGTGGCGGGACCCGATGTCCTGGGGGTTTGATGGTTTGCGGGCGAGCTCGGCCGACGGATTTGATTGAAGATGGGCTGCCCGCCGTGTCCGTCGGAAGATTGGTGTGGATGGAGATCATGTTAACTTAATGAACAATATCAAGCCACGAAAATTTCTATCAAATCTCTCCAGTGATGGTAAGACAGGAATTTGAGTCACAAGTTGTTCGCTGAATATGTCTCGTCGACGATCCGCTTCACTGACGAAGCGACCCTCAGCCTGCCGCCTGCGGCCATTCGCTGAATTCCCTGATCAAACCCTGCCGCGCCGCGCATTGCGCCTTGAGCCTTTGACGAAATCTCAGGCAACCACTGACTTCCCCACCCAGCCGGTACACACGTAGCCCTCTTTCGCCCACCACCGGTCTGCACAATACCCACGCAACCGCCGTTGCCAACCACACCAACTAGCTGCCCGCGCCAAACCGCATAGCCTCCACTAACGGCCCCACTGCAGGTCTCACCATCTGTGGCTCCACCGCCGACATTGCAGATCTCGATATCTCGCGCGCTCTGATCTCGACGTGCGGGCAACTAACCCGAATCCCATCTGCTCCGCCGCAACTAGCCCGAATCCCATCTGCGATGCCTCCTCCACTGCCCTTAAACATAAAAAGCATGTTCTGATAACCCCAAACTTAAGGGGGTTTTGTGTACTTTGAGAATTATAACAGGTTTTCTGATATTTAGCCACAATAAAATGCATCATGAAAATGAAGGAAGTTTTATGGTACGAGGGAACTTACAGCTCTCCATTGCAGAGAAAGAAAATAAGGATTACAACAATAAAAACAATAATAAATCCTTTGTCCCAAGTTTTTGGGATCAGCTATACGATTCCGATAATAAGCAAGAATTATCACCCTTAAATAATAGTCTAAGGGGAAATATACATATTTTAAGTAGCATTTTCATGATTAACATCATAGCAGAGACAACAACAATTGACTTTTAGTTCGAATAACCCATGTCAAGTTCTGTGGCCAACTGCTGCTTCGAAAATCCTATCAAATGACTTTTCCATACAAGACACAAGAAGCTCAGAATTTATGAATTCTCTCTCTGCTCCTATTGCAACCCTTACAGTCCCCATGTAGCTCACTACAGTAATTGTGAGACTCTGCAATCAAACATGCAATACGCATAAATGAAACTAATTAGAACAGTCCGATAAATACGTTCATGCTTTAAAGATGATATACCTGTGGAGATCGCGCCACCATGAAATAGAAGCTCTTGCAAGGGTGATTAGCAATCTGCAACTTTTCCAGTGGCCCGATGAGATTAGAAATCGTCAGGCTCGTGTTGGTTAATGTTTTGTATATGTTACTAGAAACAGCCTGCACAATGTGTCGTTCTAAAAAGATTGGTCCTTTTTTTTTTAAAGAAGTATAAGTAAGTTAAGTCTAATTGTGAAACAAACCTCCGGTCCTCTAAACTTCCTCATAATTTCCAGAATTCCAGCAGTGAGATAGACACCAAGCGAGTTCCTCTTAGCCTTGATAATTTTCTTGGCTCGGCGTATTGAATGTAGAGGATCAGCATTCTCAGGGTCCTTATTTGTAGGGATCGAGACATGCAAAAAGGCGAAATGGTTGCCCCAAGGAACCTTTGAATCGCGTCGAGCCATCTCTTTCAGTGGTTGGTATGTTCTGATTGCCCTTGTGTTGAGCAATACGAGAGCTGTCACCTTTGCAGGTTTGGTTTCTTGGCCAGCGGCTTGCAAATAGAGTTGGATGCCGTAGAAAATTATTCCAGTTATAACATCATTAACTGTCTGTGGAACAAAAATTGAAACAGGATAAGGAAAGAGAACTTTATTACAACTTATTGACACAGAAAAAAATTAACTCAAATGAAATGGAACAATTCACTTTGCTGTCAAAACTAATATATGTGTGTATGAATTCCACAAATTTAGAAATTGTTAAATAGATCTTTAACTCCCTTTAGCTTGGCCTTTATCTGCTTGAATTTGAAATTCAATGAATTGAAGAGTTCACTGCTCTGCCAAAGTCATATGCACGTGTGTATAGAATGCCGTACGCTCAGAAATTTTTGTTTGATTGATCTTTACCATTTAGCTTGGCCTTCATCTGCTTTATTAATAAATTCAATGAAATGAAAGGCTGGCTTTACTTTCTAATACTAACGTATGCGGATATTTAATTCCATGAACATAGGAATTTGGTCAAAAGATCTTTTCCCTTTGCTTGGCCTTTTTATCTGTTTGATATTAGCGAATTCAATGAATTGAAAGAATTCAATTGTCTTTGCAAATTAAATTAATACATGTACTGTATATGGAATGCCATAAACATATAAATTTTCATTGGATTGATCTCACCCCTTTTAGATTGGCCTTTATCTGCTTAATATCACCGAGCGAAAACGTGACAGTTGACAATGTAATCCGTCTATCATCAATGCCGGAATCCCCTGACCTTATTGGAGTTGTGCTATCTTTCATGCTACTCGACGCGAGACTCCAACTGAAGTCTTTAATCGTGTTAACGCACATAGAGAAAACATTGGATACAACCCTACAAACTCCCCAGTTTCGAGCTTGTGTGCTTCCACTTGAGGGGAAAGTCAGAGGAAGGGAAGGATTATCAGCTCTTTGTACACAATTGAAGAGGGCTGTCATAAGTGAGAAGCCATCTCCTAATGAATGATGAAGCTTGAACACAAGAGCACCTGCCGCATTCTTTATTGGATACTTGATTATATGCGTGTCCCATAGAGGTTGATCTTCTGGCAAGCGTTCTGTCGCAATTTTCTCTATGTATTCTTGCATATAATCATCATAAAACTCCAATCCTGAAGGAAACACTGGAACGTTCATATGATCCTCCAGTTTCACTTGAACCCGCCTCCATTTTGAATTCCCGTGCTCATCTTTCACCTAAGCACAAGTTACGCTGATGTACATAAATACTAGAAAATGGGTAAATTATACTAAACCCCAAGAATTTTCAACATTTTGCAGTAAACCCCCAATAACTCTCAAATCCTCATAGGCCCGCATAAATTTTGTAGAAAACCCTGTAATTTAACATCGTTGCATCTGATATGTACGTGCAACCCACGTGACTTAAAAAGACAAAAAAATACCCTTTACATTATTAAAAAAACCCTTTATAAACTTTTACATTTTGCAGTCATAAATACCGAAATCTCTTGTCTCTTACCATTTGCTCTCATCTTGCTCGCCCCAAGTTGGGGGTGCTAAACCCTAATTGCCCTTTTATTTTTTGATAAAATTGTCCTTCAGAATGCCTTTATATGTTTTTTTTTTGTTCCAATTTATGGGGCTATATATCTACAAAACGCAGAAACTTGTTGGAGGATTTCTACATTATCTAGAAGGGACTTGGTGCAATTTTAAAAGTTAGTAGAGGTTTACTACAATATCGTGAAAGTCCTTTGGGGGTTTAGTGTGGTTTTGAAAGTTGTTGGGGGCTTACTGCAAATCGCTGAAGTTCTTGGGGGGTTTAGTGTAATGTACACATAGAAAAAATACTACATATAACACACACATGCATTCAAGATAAAATTCAACGAGATAACGTTACCATGATCGAAGAGAAGCGAGGGTTGATGGGCAAGAAGAGGTTCTCCAATGTCAACATGGCTTGAGAGTCATCTATGGGGATCTCCGACTCGAAAACCACGAGATTGCTCACACAGAGAGCCGAACTGTTGAGGTATTGAGCTTCGGGGCTTACAGGCTCTTCCTCAACCTCGCCCGATGCCTTAGCTGAGCTTGTATTTATTTTCAGCTTCATTTCGCAGTGTGGCTAACTAGACTGTGCTCTCAGATCCTTCACTTATATTTATAACCTCCAACTCAATTAATACAGCCAGCATTCGTACGTCTTCTTTCCACGTGGGGGTGTTGTTCTTTACTAAATTTGTGCGGAAATCTCACGCATGTTTTCTATAACTCCATACTGTACGGCCTTGATTGTTGTCCAACTTATTGACAAATCCAACTACTCAGATCTTAGAGTACAGCCATGACCATATAAGTAGTTAAGAAAAGTGTCGGCATTAATTGTTACAGAATCTTGTACTCATTTCACAGCGTAGCCTGCAATGTTCGACAAACTTTAATTACGCAGCGAGTTCAGACTTAGTCTCCCTAAACACACGCTATAACCACGGCCATATGGAATTAGAACCTCCTTTAATATATGTTTTCTTTTGAATAAGTTGCACTTAATCTTTCCACGCCTTTGCAGTAAACGCCCAATAACTTGAACTTTGACACTCGCACTAAAGCCCTAATATGACTAGAAGCCCCAAATGTTAACACCGTCAGTTCAAGTGTGGTCAAATGACCGAAATACCCACAATACTTTTTGGCAGAAAACTCCTGATAAGTTTAAATCTTTTGGCACTTAACCCCCAAATTTGAAAAGTATGACTTCTTAGCCCTAAAAATGTTAAAAATTACCAAGAGCATTTGAAAAAACCAAAAATTATAAAGATCCCAAAAAATATGAAAATTACAAAAAACACCCTAAAATATGAAAACTGCAAGCAACCCCTTAAATTTTGAAAATTGCAAAGTCCCCATAGTGTCTGTTTGCAGTTTTCATGGGTCTATTTCTAATTATAAGATTTTCAGCGAGGGTTGTGTTTGTAGTTACAAATAACTCCCTGGAAACTCAAAAATAATAATCAACTCCTTGAAATTTAGAAATTACAAACAGCAGATGAAAATTTCAGAACCTCTAAATGCACCCTAAAAATACAAGTGGTTGTTGTAATTTTTAAACTTTTCAAGTGTTTGTTTGTAATTTTATAATTTTTTTGAGAATTTTTTGTATTTTTTGTATTTTTATTTTTAAGAGGTTATTACGTACTTTTTAGAATTTTGGGCTGTAATATGATTTTGGAGCACCAAAGAAAATCTCTTTTTTACTGCAAAATTTCACGATTTTCAAATTAGGGGGTTAATATGCAGATAGGGATGATTTGAGGTGTGCAAGAAATACTTTTTTAGAAAACCTTTATTGGCCTTTGAGGGTATTTTCTGCCATGTGAAATTATGGGGGTGGTGTTGTTTGGGGTTAAATTGGAAACATTATTAGGGTTTTTTTAATTCCCAAATTTATTTCTGGTCTGGTGAGAATTTTAAACTTATTAAAGGTTTACTGCAAAATATTGAAACTTATTGGTGATTTGGTGTAATTTATAACTTCTTCATCAATGAGAAATCTATATAAACATCTTTTCTTTTATTTTTTATTATTATTATAATTTCCACATGGAACTAGATCTAAAATTCTACATGCAATCTTCAAGTTTACATGGTCAACTCCATTTATGACTCTTGAAGTTTGGATCCCACCCGAAGGCCCCGTTTGACAAAGGGTTAATGGAGAGGGGTTAAAGAGAAGAATTAATGTACTTAGCCCATTTGATAATCCGAAGGACTAAATTATTAACCCATTAAATAAGTTTTATTTTAGCCCTTATGATCAGTTTTAGTGTTTGGGAATAACAATGATTTTGACTATTTTCTTTATAATTAGAAGGGTTAACTCTTATTCCATCTAAATAGGAGTATTAGTAAACCCCTCATTTTGAGGGGTTAACTCATTTTAACCCATCTAGAGGGGTTAACTTAACACTTCTATATTTTTTATGTTTGGCAAATTATGGAGGGTTAACTCACTTTAACTCTTATATAGATTTGTTGTGTTTGGCAGGTTAAGAAGGGGTTAAGTCTCCTTAACCCCTCTCTTAACCCTTTGCCAAACGGTACCGAAGGGAATACCCAGCACCCTCCGCATTGGAATAATCAATCACATCTTCTCTCCCTTCCATTACAGAAATGGTTTTCAGGTATTCATCAAATGAGACATTAAAATAATCTCATCATTGAATTAAAACTAACAAGAAATATTCTCTATAATCAAAAAGTCAATATTAATCCAATTAACATAAGATAAATAAATACTTCTCAACTTGAAATAAAACGCAATCTACATAACCAAATCCTATTATTACAAAATCTCCCAAATATCACTAAACATCAAAGTCTTTATTTAATCTCCACCTAAAGATAGCTGCTAGCAACTACAAATTTTACTCCTTGCACCCTTCTAGGATTTTGAAAACCATGAACTCCACCTAATCTCGAGTATCTGAAAAAGGATAAAACGCAATGAGTTCACAACTCAATAACTAAATAAATTCATGCACTATACATTGGTTTTACAAAAACTAAAAGATATAAACCATCATAAATGAAAAGTAATAAGAACAAATTTATATGAGAGAGAAATATCACCAATAAGTCAAATTACCATTTGTAAATGCAAAGAAGTTAAAAATAATATTTTATACAATTAGAAAAGTAAGCAGGTCAGGTCTCAATGCGGTCAACCATTCGATATTCCGATTGGCTTAATGACTCCCTAATTGTTAAGCTTGTATTGTTGGAATAGTGAGACCCAAATTTGGGGTCACAGTGCTAAAATAAAACCTCATAAAGGCACATTGAGCCTACAGTGACTTACTTATTATTCCCACATATACTAGTATATAAACATGAGATGCATATATATGTTTAATATAAATGAACAGAGTATAAATAGTTCAATATTTTATACTAAAATGTCAAAGCTGGCCAACCAATAATAATTATCGAGCTGCATATCCATCTCAACTTCATGATATTAATATGACATGATTGTCGTTAATGAAATAAACTGAATACTCGCGTCTTCACAAAAGCACGAAACAAATCAACAAATACTAAAGCTATATCATCTTAAATGAAACAAATGTTCTGCATATAATAATATTATAGTTTCAAATAGAAAATATACAATGCACAATGTGCAAATTCACCATTTATCATAAACCTAAAAGACAACTGAAGTACCACTCATGATGCCTCCTTGGAGCCACCCAAAACCCCTTAACTAATGTTCTTAATCCCGAAAACCCAACTGATAAAGAATAATTTTTTTTCTTTTTTGTTCAAGAGAAGCGAACGCGAAAAAGTGAGAGAAAATAGCCGCGATACATAAGTATGGTTTCCAGATATTCTAAGGCTAATTTACACTAACCCCCCTCAAGAAAAAATCTATTATAATAACCATATCCCTTACATAAACACCCTTTTATAATTTTGTACTTGCATCTTGAAATAGTTTCTATATATATTTAGTATTACTTAAAAATTAGGAATATTATATACTATCTTCCTTAACAGAAGTTTTGTCCTCAAAACTTGGTCATATATGTGTCCTCAAATAGATCAAGATATTTTTCCTTCATCTCATCCTCGTGCTCCCAAGTTACTTCTTCATGTGAATGATTTATTCATAAAAACTTCACTACCCTAACAATCTGTGACGCCACTGTTTTCACACAAGGCTACAGTCCAAGGTAAACTCAGAATACCAAACCTGCCATACAACCAACACTGTGCATAAACATGTTTCACCATCACATTAATATCGCCCTAGTAGATGTCAAAATAAGAAGTGAGGGTACAAGAAGATATATCAATGATGATAATACAAGGAACACATAGAGAAGAGACATCCAATAATAACTAAAATTTTGTTCCAACAGAAGAAAAGAGAGTACATCTGGTGAATTGGAATAAGAACATCGAATCTCTAATATATGAGAGTCAATTGAAAATACATAGGTACTCAGCCTCCAAAATAAAATGCAACACTAAAACAAAACTAAACTCATAATTAGTCTACTATGAAGCACAAATTAACTACTTATAATTAACGAAAATCTGCGCTGAGTCCCCGTCAACCTGCGGCTCTCCTAACCCTTGACTCGCTGCTTGAAAAAGATGGAAACAATGAGCGTTAAAACGCTAGCGAGAATATCTTCACCGCCCCTAGGGGGAAGTGGGTTAGGTGTATAAAACTACTAATCACAAAATATACGATTCATATATCCTAAGCTAAGAGGAGTTAAGATTTAGAAATCCACAACACAAGATGAGTACATCGAGCAAAATAATCCAAATAAGGAAACCCTCATATATATACCATGTATCTCAAATTGTGGATCGCTAAATATCAACTCTAAATCCTATAAATAAATAAATAATTAGCAAGGGAAAATACACCATTAATATCTCATCCAAGACAAATAGTATATGTCGCATCATAGTATCTCACGCTACCCTTGGGTAGATGACACGAAAGCAAAAGTACAAACCTGTGAAAGCCTCGTTAAAATATACACCGTTGTAGAAGAAAGTCAAGTGTTGGACTACATTCATAAATAGTACTCGTCTGAGCTCTAGGCTTCCTAAATATATAGAGTGTAGTCATCCGCAGTATGATGCAGCTCACAGACTAACACATTCGGAGTGTAGTCACCCGCTATGTCATGCGGTACACGGACCTGCGCACTTAACCACTAAAATAATGATGCATCACGGAGTGTAGATGACCGCATTCTCATTGCGGTGCATGGACTAACACACTCAGAGTGTAGTTGCCCGCGTTCTCATCGCGGTGCACAGACTAATGCACTCAAGCATCCATAACTATCGTAAACCAAAATAATCATCACTCCCTTTTATGACATACAAAAAGCATTAGATTACACGTATGAATAGTGTTAGCCCCTAGAGGGGGGTGAATAGGGTCAATGCTAATTTAATTCTAATTTTATGCCAATTAAAAACTTTCTTGATTAATTAATTCTTGCAAAAGATATATGAGTGAGATATGAGCAAGAATGTAAAATACAAGCACAAAATAGATATACACAAAGCAAACTCAAACACAATAATATGATCACGGAGTTCAGACCTTCTGCCCTAC